TATTAGCTACTTCATTATTAACCTATTTTGGTTTTGGAACATTTTTTCCCAAACTTTTCTAATTGCTACTGAAACATTAAGTTATGCCTTCCCAACAGTCTCCACTGCAGATTCTGATCAATGGTCAGGAATAGGGCCAGATATTTGTATTTTTAATTTGGATACCATATGAACTTTATTTTAAAGATAATTTCAGAAGTATTGGTCAGGAATAGGGCCAGATATTTGTATTTTTAATTTGGATACCATATGAACTTTATTTTAAAGATAATTTCAGAACTATTGGCTTATACCATATATTTATTGAATCATTTAAGTATCTATTACTTTGTTAATTCATTCAAGGAACACTTATTGTAGTATTTACCAGGCATTACACCAAGTACCCTTAAGGAGCTCTGGTAGTGTAGTGGTTACGAATTGGGCTACCAACTTCACGGTCAGCAGTTCAAAACTACCAGCTGTTCCATGGGAGAAAGATGAGGCTGTCTGCTACCATACAGATTTATAGCCACGGAAACCCTGTACAGGGTCACTATGAGTCAGAACCGACTCCACGGCACATAACAACAACAACAACACACCAAATACCCTTAAGTCATTGGAGCTTGGACAACTAGTAGAAGAGATATATACCAGACACACAAGCACATTAATTTCTATGCAACCACAGTTGTAAAGTGTGCTACAAAGGAAAACTAGAAGATACTCAGAGGAAACACTTCCCAGGAGAACTCCCCTATGTTGAAGAGTGGGAATGGGGTAGAAAGTAAAGAAGGGAAATTTATGAAGACTTCCCTGAAAAAGTGATTGCTAAGGTCTCTTTCTACTCTGACATTGTATATTTATGACTCAGTTAATTTTCTACTACAGCTGCATGTTACCTGCCAAGAAGAGAAGAAGGATCCTGGGCTGAGCAGATTAGCGTTTTCTGGGTGGCGACCTCCCATATAGTCATCTGTGCAAACATCACAGTCTTCTGCATCCCGCCAATCCCAGTAGGGAATAGTGAAGTTCTCATCCCCTGTCAGCTTCTGGATTTCATTTTCCCACAGCAGCAAGAATAGTCTGTGCCAAGGCAGGAAGCCAGGTGCTTCATGAGCAAAATCAATGTTGCTCCAGATTTCGTTTCCCCCGAGCAGTGTGTCTCTGGACACATAATAATGCATCCAGACGAAGAGATCATAAATGTTGATGTCGCTAAACATGGGCGTCAATCCATTGTTCATTTGGCCATAGGTTCCTGTGGGAATAACGTAGTCTGGACTGGTAGTATGTTTCGCTAAAGTGAGGTAGGCGAGGAATTTGTCCTTCTCTAAAACACTCAAATCAAAGATGTTTCTTCTTACCAATAGCCTTTTTTCAGTGCAGTTTGGTCCCGAAAAGCCAAACCTGCAATTTCCACAGTCAAATCCCATGAAGTTGTCAGAACACTGGCAAGTCCTATTATAAAAGACAGATGGCCAAGACTCCCGGTCATCTACCCCTGTGAAGGGGAATTGGGGCCCAAATGGTGCATTGGACAGCAGAACATCCTGACAGGAACCCCTACCTGAAAGCTGGCCACAGGGACTCCCATCCCCACTCCATGGTGGGCAGCATTCCTTCTCTATTAAGTTCTTGGAGGACACACAGGCTCGAGGGAAATGGCCAACTGACATCTGAAAACTGCACAGTAGGCAGTACAAAAGAACCAGGTACATTCTTCCTTGGGTCCTCACAAGGCTTGTCTGAGCTGGTTAGTTAGAGACTTCTCTTTCCAGCTACCCCGACACTGACTATCACATGCTTTGGCTAAGCCTATATAATACCACTCCCACCTCCAGCATCAAACACTCACAGTCTTTATCTGAAGCTTTCATCTTCTGAAATGCTCATGACTAATTTGTCTTTGGATTTGGCATTTATCCCACCAGTGGGGCAGACCTCTTTAAAAGTGAGAAACACTATTCACCATCAATAACTGAATTCATGAGGTTCTATTAATAATAGTAATAATGGTAATAATAACAAAGTCTGATTTAGGTAAAGTCAGTTAATGAGTATCAATCATGATTTGGATTTTCTAATGAGAACCAATGTCAGACATAGAGCTGCTGTAATTAAGAAAGGTCAGGAAATGCTACAGAATATAAGAGTAAGGCGATGGTTTTTCAGAGACGATAAATAGGCCATAGCATTTACAAAACTCAGCTTTGCAGAAAAGATTTTCTAAACCCAAATTATTTCTTACCTCTGATTACATGAAATAAAATTTATTTTGTAGAAAATATCAGAATTAAAAAAAAAAGAAAAAGGCATTCTGGAACTTTTTTCTGTTTTCTTCTGGTTATCTTCATGCATTTAGGCCATTTACTTACTTCTTAACTACTCATTTTATGTTTATTCCTGGGTAGGTCCCTTTAGTATTTAATTGAGTGGTCTATTTTTTTAAATTATGGGGAATTTTAGTATTTAGCATTCCCAAAAGAGCTTTTAAAAGTAAAATTCTTGAGCCACCTTATTTCATTCAAAAATGCTGTAAAATCAGGTATTTGCTTGAATTTTGTGTTTATAACATGGTTATTAGAGTTCTGGTGTAGCGCTGTGAGTTAATGCGCTGGACTGCAGAGTTGGTCTGATTCACAAGGTTGATAGTTCAAGCTCATCAACTGCTCCTTGGAAACATTATACAGGGTCACTATGGGTCTGAACCGACTCGATGGCACTTAACAACAACAAATATGGTTATTGGAGTCCTGGCATGTTACTGTGGGCTCATGCTGCCAAGTCCATTTGAACTTCATGGTCAGCAGGTCAAGCTCACAATCTGCTCCTTGGAAACCTTATATAGGGTCAGTATGAGTCAGAACTGAGTACTGGGTTGGAATAGACTGAAAGGCACTTAGCAACAATATATAGAAAAGACAATGAGAATGGAGACAACTCCTAAGACAGGGGAATCTATTCAGGGGTGGGTAGGAATTGTGTTTCATATGATGCATTGGAGCACTGGATATAGATAACACCACACTATAAAGAAATCAAACCTGGGAACTAACCTACTGAGGGCCTTGAAAGCTATAGTAAGAGGTTTGGGCTAAAGTGATCTTTATCTGAACTGAAGAGTGATTGTCCACCCCACCTGAGACTCCCTTCCCTTTCTTGTTCCACACTTAAAACTGAGTGGTCTCTTAATGTTAAGAGCCCAGAGAAAGAAAGTGAATGTCTGTAAGTGTGGACCCTCAGCAGCAGAATTATAGGAAATGCCATCATTGCCCTGGTGATTCAGGCTTGTCAGCTAGCTATGCTCTCTGCACTTTCTGCTGCAGTTGTCTTGTTATACATCTGTCTCCATACTCCATCTTAAAGCAGCCTTTTCAGGTAGAAGGAGCAGTGTGTGGGTGAAGAGGATGAAAAGAGAAGTTTCCATGGAAATTCTGCCACTGGCTGAGATCAGGAAGTCATCACATGATCTCCACAAGGCGGCTTAATCTTTTTTTCTTTCTCCTTGCTATCAGAACCACAAAGAGGTTAACACAGGGCTTCTTGTTTCTGGGGAGCCTTGGTTCTATATGACTGATACCCACATGAGACTTTTTGTAATTCTGTTCAACTACTTGCAGGTAGTAATCAACTTCTCATGTCCAGTTTTATTAAGAATTTTGTTTTAGACTAGGCCCCCTTCTTCACCATCCCTCAAATCAGGTTTCTAGATGAAATAACAAAGATAGCCTCATTCATACTCTTGGGCTTGCTGCTTCTGCTCTTCTGAGTCTGTTTCTCATAATTCACAAAGTCTGCACTGAAGGATGGTTAAAATCGACTCTGTCTTCTTATTTTCCATCCCTTAGCTGATTTCATTAAATTGACAGACCTTTTTATTCTTCCCCAAAATAGAACATTATCTCTTCTGGCCAATGTGCATAATAGTCTTATTGCTAGTACAAATTTCCTACATATCAAACTGTTTAAACAGGATGCACCTGGTATGTTTGTTTATTAACTGCACCATTCCCCTGCAAGGTATTTTCTTAAGCACTATGCTAATTTTTTATATGCTTCTATGAAAGAATTTACATAAAGCACTTATTAAAATACCTGGGGATGGGAGGGAGTGGTTGGCAAAAAAACTCAGGTTATTTGTGAAAAATATGGTACTTTCTCTAGATGTCTGTAAGTTATATGCTTTGCAAGTAAATGCTGTCCTGGGAGTTTATTTACTTAACACCTGAGCTAAAGCAATGCTGTATTAAGTAGAAGTAGGGACTCAACAAGTTCTCTTCAAGTATTTATTGTGCATCAACTATGAAGGCTTATGCTCAGAGGTGGTTTTTGTTGTTAAGTTCCATCGAGTAAGTTCTCATTCATAGTGACACTAAATAGGGTTTCCAAGGAGAAGCTGGTGGGTTTGAACTGCCAACCTTGTAGTTCGTAGTCCAGTACTTATCCTATAGTGCCACACCACGACTCCATATTCAGAGGCAGAGATGCTATAAGAACCACAACAGAAAGACTTCTACCTTAATAAAGGTGAATCTAGTAGCATAGTGGTTACAAATTGGGCTGCAAACCACAAGGTCAGTAGTTTGAAACTACCAGTTGTTCCACGGGAGAAAGATGAGGCTTTCTGCTCCCATAAAGATTTACAGACTTGGAAACCCTGTACAGGGTCACTATGAGTCGGAACTGACTCCACGGCACATAACCACCACCTTGTAAGAAACCACCATACTAATTTGGGCCTACTGGTGTGGCTCTGTAGGATAAGCACTGTGCTGCTAATCACAAGGTTGGCAGTTCAAACCCTCCAGTTGCTCCTCAGAAACCCTATACAGGATGGTTATGAGTTGGAATCAACTCCAAGGCACTTAACAACAACAACATGAAAACTTTAGTTATGTTTTATTAAGTGGTGCTGCGGGCGAATGCGTCAGACTGCAATGTCGTTTGAACTGCAAGGTCGGTGATTCAAGCTCACCAGCTTCTCCTCGGAAACCCTATACAGGTTTGCTATTGGTTGGAACGGACTCCACAGTACTTAACAACTACAACAACAATGTATCATTTAAATAACTCTGTGGTGCTTTAGGATAAGCTCTCAGCCACAAGGTCGGTTTGAATCATAAGGTTCGTGGTTTCCTTGGAAACCCTATACAAGGTTACTATAAGTTGGGAACCACTTGATGATACTTAATAATAATAACAACAAATGGCTTTAAGCTACAAAGGAAAATTAAATAACCTTGTTAGGGAAGTTAAGGAGGTCTGGTAGCATAGTGGAGTACAAGTTGGGCTGCTAACCTCAATGTCAGCAGTTTAAAACTACTTGTTGCTCCATGGGAGAAAGATGAGACTTTCTGCTCCCATAAAGATTTACAGCTTCAGAAGCCCTGTCCAGGATTTCTATGAATAGGAACAGAATTGACAGCATGCAACCATCACCAACACCATTAGGGAAACTGGCTGAGGGATCTATCTAGTCTTCTAAGGCATGATCAGGAAGATTTTCTGAATGAAGTGACAACCGGGAAAAGATCTAAAGAGTTTCTAGAAGTCTGGTGAAGAATAGACAGTGAAACTGAGCAAAGGCTTTGAAGTAGGGAGTGGTAAGGTATGTTCAAGTGAACAGGAAAAGGTAAAAATCATTCACTGCCCTCTCCTGCCCAGGAGGCAAGCTAAAATGCTAATCAAGTCACTAAATGGTTCCAATCCCACTGGTTTTTCCCCTGCCCTCAAACAGGTACGCAGCTTGGCCCCTCCCCGGACTCTGACCCCAGATACGCCCTTGTTGCCCTCCATTCGGGCGGGGCTCAGAATCTAGAGAAATTAGCTCCTCTGAGTCAGCCAGCTTAATAAAATCTGAAACTCTGCTTCACCTCTCTGAGTGGTCGGTTTCTTCGACCACGAATTTAAAACTGCCATAACATTTGGGTCCCTGACCAGGAAACCAACTGAGCTGGACCCTTGAGCCACTGGATGGGAGTCGGGCAGTGATTAATGGTGAGCTCCCGTCAGCCGATGAAATGTCTGGCCACCGCCACATTTGACCATCCTTCCTCCTCTGAGTGGACGCAGCCAGCCACCACACCCACCTCTCCCGACAGGACTCAAAAGGAGAGTTTTGTTGCTGTTGTTGTTAGGTACCATTGAGTCAGTACTGACCCATAGCAACCCTATGCACAGCAGAACGAAACACTGCCAGATCCTCAGCCAACCTCACTACTGTTGCCATGCTTGAGTCCATCGATGCTGCCACTTGGGCAATCCATCTTTTTG